CCCCTGAGATGTGCAGTTAGACCAGGGCTCTGCAACCTGTGGCTCTTTGAAGTTTTAACAGAAGCTAACATGCTTTTTTTTGTTTTTATACTCACAACAGAAAATGATAACTTTAGCATTTTCCTGTCAACTTGTTGCAAACATGTGATCAATGCTACAAATAATGAAACATGTTGATTAGGTCATGCTAGTAGCTTGTTGGCCCCTCAATACTCCAACTTCTAGCTTTAAAGTAGGATCTTTCTCACAAATCCATCAGGGTTACCTTTGAAGACCTTTAAGGCTAGACTAAATAATAATATTAGGGAAATAAATTAGAAAAAATATTTCAGGTGTAGTTTTTTTTATTAAATTTGATATAAACTATATGCAGTATTTTTCTTGTTTACATGAATTTGGTCTTTTCTTTTGTCCTCAAGTGTAAAAATAATGATAAATGTTAAAATTCACTTTATATTTTAAGTTTTATGATGTTACCCACATAGGCCAGGAAGACCCCCATTCAACAAACTTGAAGTGGCCCTCGGACCAGTTGATAATCACAGTTGTAGCATGTTTAGCAGCTCCAGACACATTTGAGTGAGCCCAGGAGCAGAAATGGATGTTTTGGTTGTAAAGGTTGCAGACCCCTGACACTGAGCTCAGTTCAGGGGTCACTCAACATGGTGGTTTGATGATGGCCTGTCTTCCAAGATAGCAATATTGCACACCCTAATGGGTCACACAAATCAGAATGCATTAAAAAAAACAAAGAGTACTGAATGTAACGTTTGAATGTGTTAAACACGATTTCGTTGATGGCTGTATGTCGGAGCCACGCGGCAGAGATCAACTTATTTTTGTCTGGCTTCCACTTCGGTACAGAACGCCCACCTGAGCTGAAGTCTGGGTGCCATCGTATGCAATAATCTGTGTATTTTATTTTCTTTCATTTTTGTTATTTAGGTACAAAGGTACTGTGAATCGAAGCACTTGTGTCAAAGATTATGATTTTAGTAAGAACTCGCTACAAAAAGGGAAATGTATTTTAAAAAAAAGCAATTGTGGATAATAAAAAAAAAACAAAAACAAAAACAGAAACCCTGAAACCAGCAATGCACTAAGATCGATGTGAATGTTTTTTTTTTGCATCAATCAAAAGGGCTAAAAAGAAAAAAGCAGTTACTTGGACACATGATTAATGAGGAACCCTGACGGGTCATATTGCTGCATATTTACCTCTCATTGTGCAATGTTTGATTGTAAAAAATCTGACATCTGCTGTTGAACTGTTGCTGCTTTGTGATGCTATGCTGAATACAAAAAAAGACTGCTTTATGAACAAAAAGAGAAGAAAAGCATAATTACTCCCTTCTAGTTAATGTTTAGATGATTTGTTCTCTTTCTAGACCTTTTCTTGGCTGGTGACTGTGAGCAGCAAGCTGGTCACTAGATTAAGCCATCAGAGGATCCTGTCCGGTGGCCTCAGCTGTCTGGTTTCTGGACGAGCGACCCCATCAGTCAGCAGCCACTGGACTCGATCGGTCCTTCGTTATTATTCTCCTCCAACCACCTGCCAGCATCATCAACTGGGCTTCACTTTAGCTTTATTTGAGTACATTTACAAGATGTGAAGTAATTCATCCATTCATTAGTTTATTTATCTTTTTTGTTGCCTTTTTTTTAACCAGCAAATCTGATGATTTAATCTCCTGTATTTTAGGCACATTTTATTTTAGCTACTGAAATTCAATGCAATAAAAAAATGACATATGGTCAACGACCCTCATTCCCTAGCTGTTGATTTCTTTTTGAAGAGCGGCATGAGGAAAATCTGATGAAAATGATGGGGAAGTCTCCGACTTTAAGCCGGATTATAAATCGAGAACAGCGTGCTGTTGTTTGGTGCCAAATTTCAAAATAGCCAGGATTATAATCTGCCCGATATTCAATACAAAGAAAATTATTTGCCGCTTTCATAGAGTTATAAGTGGTGGATTAGCAAGTAAATAGTCATTTAATTTGGTGCTGCTTCAAAGGTTGATTGAGTTAAGCTTCTTTTTTCCCTCTCTCTCTCTCTTTGAGGTAAAGCTGTCGAGCTGATAGAAAGCAGACAAAACTCTCAGGCCGTCCAGGACAATAAATCCTCCTCTTCTAATAACCCCACACGATAAGCTACATATTTCTTTTAGAGAATTATAATCTTTGTGTGAATGCTGACTCAGCATATAGTTTATCTCTTTATGGTTTGTTCTGTCCATTTTTTGCAATCAACTTACTTTCATCACAAGCTTTGTGCTATTTTAACCATTCATTTGTCAGATCATTAAAGCCCACTGAGAACAGGATGTCACAAATCTGTTTCTACCTCCTATATGAATATCTTTCACCTCAATTACAGAAAAGTTACAAATAACACATTTAGATCTCTTTTCAGTTTCTGAAAAAAACGTTTTTTCTTCAAAACATTTGCTCAATTTGTCTTTTTATTATTAATTAAACTTTTAGCTACTATTTAATCTTTAATAACAGTTTTGCTATTGTTGGCTTTTAGCTAGTTTGACTAATTTAAGGTTTTAGCTACTATTTTTCTTGCTTGAGTCTTAAATGAAGTTTTGCTATTGTCTGATTTTAGATATTGTTTTACTAATTTGAGGGTTTAGCTACTAATTTGCTAGCTTTAGCCCTTAATTTTCTGTTTTGATTTGTTTGTTATTAGATGTTTTTCTAATTTTAGCTTTTAGTTATTGATTTGCTAGCTTTAGCCTTTTAGCTTTAGGTTTGCTATTTTCTGCCATCAGCTTTAGTTTGACTGATTTTAGCTTTTAGCTCCATTTAGGCAATTTTTCACTTTTAGCTCCAGTTTACAAATCTTAGCTTTTAGCTGTGGCTTTGCTCATTTTAACCTTTAATGCAGTTGTACTAATTTCAGCTTTTAGCTACTTATATTAGCATTTCTTCTGCCTGTTTTATCTCTTCTAATTAGTGTAATATTTTTCACCAAATTTCAGCCAACCCATTCATGCAACTTTTAGTTGAATTTGAGTACATTTTGCTTTAGATTTTAAATATTATTTTCAGCAAACAACAAAAGAAATAGACGAAAGACAACTCACAGGAAGATAATCCAGTAAATGTACTTTTAATTGATCACAGCGGATCGTCTTTTATATTATACCAACTAAAAGTTCCACATAAAACACAGGAGAAGACAGGAACAGCAGCAGGGTTTAGACAGACAGCTGGAGTAAGGAATCATGTTGTTTCAGTCATCATCAGATGTCCTTTAAAAGGGCGGCCTGATTGGGACTTTCTAGAATGGAAATAATTAAGAAGTCCAACATGAAGAGGACGAGACAGATCAGGGAGGAGGGGAGAGAGTTTACTGATGTCCTTTTGATGAAGTTCAAGGCACCAGAACCACCCTCATGGTGTTGGTGTAGCCAGAGCCGGGGCGCCAGCCAGTCACAACCAGGGCCACATCACCAGACTTGAAGAATTTACGATGTTTACCTGTAAACAGATAACAAAATGAACCAATTAAAAGATAAACCCTTTGTCCTCTCTCACATTACGATCTGAGACCAATCGTAGTCTTTATGGCTAGAGGCTGTTGTTCTGCAAAATGGCTGCAAATTCAGGCCTACTTTTATGCTGCCTCTGGCTTTTAAAAAAATCACAGATGGAGACGGCCACATCCCGCACAGACGTGAGCTTTCAGAAATCAAGCAAGCATTGAGGAACCAGAGGTGTGGAGCGGAACTCAGCTGCTTTGACGTGGAGCGTAATGCAGTAAATGTGTGACAGACATCTCCCTCGTACTGTTTTCAAAAAATGATGAACTGGACTCAGTTGAGCTTTTTTATTTTATTTTTATTTTTGCAATTAACTAATTGTTTTAAACTCGATATCAAAGTTGCTTGGTGTCATCGATCTTCCCTCCTATAATAAATCAGTTTTATTGTTTAACCTCGTAGCTGGGTGGTTGTGCAGACCGTGTGTCAGCACTTCATTACATCATGAAGCCACAAAACTGGGTTACCTTTTCACACGTCGACTGTTTCGGCTGTTACTAGCTCACTTGGTGGCACAAAGGTACATCAGGGTGGGTTAGCTTCGATCAGAACATTCAGAAATCTCACTGAGGCAGCCAGAAGGCACCGAAATCCGAACATGAGATATTTTGTGAAGGTGCCTTATGTTTGTTCTGTTTCAGCTCCTGTTCCAGAGTAGGTGCTTTCTTAGCCATACTTGTCAAGTTGGTTGTCTGTGAATTACACAGATTTCCACCATTTAGCATGTATACATATAGAGATGATCTTGGATTTTTTTTCTGAAACTTTGCTTCAAATTTATTTAAACCTCACAGGCAGGCTGTAAAGAAATACATGCATCACCTCCTTGTTGTCTGTCCCTGCTCCTCTGCCTGTTATCTCCACCCAGACCTTGACATCCTCTCCCCGCAGCCAACAGTTCACTCCAACAACC